AAATAGACCGTGTCACTATATGAGACTGTGAAAGAACTTCAATAGTTTGTGCGATCACTCTGCTGATGGAAGGTTGTGACAGACACAAGTCATCGCTGCTGCACTGTTGCAAGCATCTTTCCGGTTGCCAAATACCTCAGCGTTGTAATCACTTTGATTTCTGGCATTATGGCATTACTACGAGCGGTGGAAGATGTGAGTGCATCTCTAATAAGGTCAGCCACAAACATAATCCCATCGTGATCCAATCTGTAGCGTTTAATTAACTCATGGTCATTCATTGTTTCGAGAATATTTCTTCTTTCCACCATTTTGTCCGCTGCTAGAGGAACTCTTAAGCCACTTAAAAGTCCTCCTCTCTACTCTTACGGATTTTTACCTTAGGAGCTGTTCTTAGGGCTAAGATGTTTCATGAATCACGTTTATCTTTACTAAGATTTAGTCCTAAATTTAAGGGGAAATTCTAAAAAAAAAAACCGTCATAACTCTAAGATTTTTTTTAGAATTTTGTCACTAGGAGCAACTTTTAGGCTTAGGAAGCTTTGTGAATACGGGCCCAGGTGTGCAATACTTGTAGAGACACAAGAAGACTGGAAGCTGTAACTGCTCCAAAGGGGCTTTAGGTTCTGAATGCTTTTGTGAGAGATTTCTGCATTAAGCATTTATTAAGTTGCCAGAATTAAAGACTTCTATTGCTGTAATAAAATGCCACAAATTCCAAAGGACATCCTTTTCTGTTGTCTTTATCACACATATGACTGGTATTTCCAAAACACAAGAACATATTAAAATGTTTTTTCTTTTTATATTATTATAGGGCCTTACCGAATGAGTAATGTCTTCTGTCTGATGACAGTGACAAAGAAAATTACTGTCCCACAGTTTGAAAGCTTATTTTATTACTATTTTCCCTGTACTATCAGCATCATTTCACAGGATTGGCATGTTTCTGAAACCTTTGAGGAATCACATGACAATAATTTGCCTTACTGTTATTATCATTATTTGTTTTATGATATTTCCTCACCAAAAGTTGTCTAATGTTAAAGTGAATGGCAATGCTATCTTTGCTTCAGAGTACACATTAAACTTATGTTCATGTTGTGTAACTCTGCAGACCAGAAGGGAAGGACTACACAGTCCACAGGCTGGTTCTGGGGACCCATACGTCAGATGAGCAGAACCACCTTGTGATTGCCAGTGTCCAGATACCAAATGATGATGCCCAGTTTGATGCATCGCACTACGACAGTGAGAAAGGAGGTAAATGGGATGGGAGTTTTCATGCTTTTAATGTAAATTTTGACAAACAGTGTCTTTGTCTGAAACTGGTTTTGACATATTTGGCTTAGACGCTATACTATGAGGGAATGAATGAGTTAAGACTCGAGTCATGTTCCAGTTGGTGTGCAATCTGATGCTGTGTTATTTTGTCTTCCAGCAGGTATGTTGATGGAGACCCAGCTGTGTGGGTGTGCTCACTGCTTCTTGCCACAGAAAGTATGTTAATGTGGACACTGAACATTTTTAAGATACAGTCTAAGTCTAAACCTCAGTACAGACAATCTAGCATACATATCAAAATAAGGGTGTAGTAATACTTTACTGCATGTTGGTTGGTAGTGCCTGTCCCTTCCATCAAGTGAATTGTCTCCTTTTGAACTCTGGTTAAGTTCTGCTCTTAAGCTGGCATGAGCATGGCTGCTGTAACTATTGCTCAAAGATCAACTGTCAATATAATATCAACATGGGCAATAATTGATACTTATCTGTTTGTTGTGGCTATTACTAATACAGTAACCCATAATATTAATATTACAAATGCAAAACATACAAACAGGACAAAAGATACAGTAGCCTATATACACTGCCATTGAAAAGTTTGGGGTCACCTTTTTCCCAGTTTTTATTTTGATATTTAAGCAGTTCAAGTCCACTGAATAACCTTAAATGGTACAAAGTTAAGAAGTCAACTTCCAAAGGTAAAACAAACAAACAAAAAAGCCACCAAACTAAAAATGTGTGTAAATTTCATATAAAGCAGGCCTTTTTCAGGGATCAAGTAACAGGTTCACTTCCATCTTTTCTGCAGCAGTGGAAGTAAATGAAGCCTTGAAAACTGAAGCAGACAGTTCATAGAGGTGTCCCAACTGTTGTTGATGACTGCCAACAACAAATTCTGTAGACAGAGCTCCACCCTCTGAAGCATCATTTGGAAAAAGACAACTAACAAAGGAAGTCAGACCAGTTCAGTGTTTCATCCTATAGCAGGATAATGAGTCAAGAATTGACCTGTAGTTGTAAGTGTCTGGTGTCCTTTGTCTACCTTGCTATAGTCTGATTGTTTTTTCTTCTTAGAGTTTGGTGGATTTGGTTCAGTAAGTGGGAAAATAGAGATTGAGATCAAGATCAACCATGAGGGAGAGGTGAACCGAGCCCGCTACATGCCCCAGAATCCCTGCATCATTGCCACCAAGACTCCCACCTCTGATGTGCTGGTCTTTGACTACACTAAGCACCCGTCAAAGCCAGGTTGGATCACTGCTGTGATTATATACCTGTAGGACTATATGCATCATAACTCTCACATGCCAGTGAATGTCACATTAAGAAGGTGAATTCAATATGTATTTGTGTGTATCAGATCCCAGTGGAGAGTGTAATCCTGACTTGAGGCTGAAAGGGCATCAGAAAGAAGGTTATGGCCTTTCCTGGAATCCCAACCTCAGTGGCAACCTTCTCAGTGCCTCTGATGACCATGTGAGTGAGTAGAATTATAAAACCTAACATTTACTGTTGTCCAGTCAGAGAGGAGGATGTGCCACAAAGGAAGGCTCCAAGTGTTTGTCCAGACTAGGGTTGCAACTAACAGTTTATTTTCATTATTGATTTGTTATTTTCCCAATTTAACTAGTTGTTTATAAAAAGTCAGTCATAGCTTTTCAGAGCCCATGGTGACATTATAGTTGTTTTTGGTGGCCTGTTTTAATTTTAGTTTTAGTCTAGTCTTTGTGTGAAGCTGTCATTTTAATTTTTATTAGTTTTAGTCACATTCATATTCTTTTTAGTCTAGTCAAGTTTCAGTCAACTAAAAGTCTGAGCATTTTAGTCTTATTTTAGTCAGAATTATCCATGACTATTTTCACCTAGTTTTAGTTGACAAAAACTGATGACATTTAGTCTAGTTTTAGTCAATGAAAATTGTATTTTAGTCTCTTTTTAGTAATGCAGTTCTGTTTAACCCAGTCAATATAGTATAAGTACCTAGTAGTATAGATGAAACCAAAAGTTTATTTTAGCCAAACCCATTTCACACAGTGTTATCTTATTATATTATTGTTGCCTTATAGACTCAAGAATACATCCAATACACATTTTGTGTGATTTTGTGGCCACATTTCTCCCCATCTTTTTCCACAACACATTCTGTTTTCTTTTCCACTTCTATGTAATGAAAAGACGAATCCCGGCTGACCAGCCATTGGTCCCTTTCTCTGTGTCAGACTTAACTTTGTTTGTTGTCTTCTAAATAATGCCGCAAGTGGGGCTTAAGGAAGTGACATCGCCTGCGTCTGCGCAGTGCGACCTGATGCGGCCCCTGAACCGAGACAGAGGAAACAGAAATACTGCAAAATAATAATAATAATAACGCGACTAAACGAGATGAAATAACATTATAACATTTCATTTCATCTCATTTTGGTCACATTTTAGCATGGTTTATTTTGTAAACGACATTTAGTCTCATTTTTTTTCGTCAACAGTATTGCATTATACATTTAATTATAGTTGTCGTCACATGACCAGCATTTTCGTTGCGTCTCGTCTCGTTTTCATCACGTGATAAAGGTTCGTTGATGACATTATTCAGTCATAATTTTTAATGAAAGAAACACTAGGTGACATCTTCAGATGTTTTGTTTTGCCAGATTAATGGTCTGAAATCAAAAGCTATTCAGATTATTGAAGACTGGTGATGCAAAGAAAAGCATTAAATCTCCACGTTTGAGAAACAAGAGCCAGCAAATATTTGGAATTTTTATTGGAAAAAATGACCGAAATGATTATCAAAATAACAGATTCATTCTCTAGCTTTTAATTAATTAGACTAATTTTAACAGGCAGCAAGACTTCTCTAGAGCAGGACAGGTATACTGTTACAATGAATCGGAGCTCGATTTAGGGGCCACGCATCATCGAGAACTATAAACTAAAGTGATTACAGTCCATCAAACCTATGAGGCAAACATCTGTTGTATGGTTAATGTTGAAATAATGACTGGTATTCTGATCTTAAACTTGTACTTCATCCTCTGCTGCTAAATCTAATACTGGTTTCAACATTTCCACTTCCAAAATTGTTGCAATCACAAACTTTTTTGGTATTCTTTGGAACAACACAAAAATAACCAGAAAAAAGCCAAATCTGATGCATTCCACACAGAACTCCAAAAATGGACTGGACAGAATTACTGACACCTTTTCAAAATCATTAGAAATAGTTGTATTTCAAGCATTTGATGCTCCTTTAATTTGTAATGAAACTCAATGACTTGACCATTTTACAGTTTTGTTCAACGAATTCCTGCCCCTTAAGATCACGTGACCAAACCATGCTACCAAGGAAAAAGACTGGACAGATTCAACAAAGGCCCGATAAAACATAGTTATTATAGTGTTTTCAATACGGAAATGAGATAATTTCCTTAAACGGTGCAAGCATTGGTGACCCTTCCAATACAAAGCCTTGCATTTTGACTCAGTATTCAGTTTTGCATCAATAGTAGTGCCAATATACAGTATTTGTAAGTCTGCAGATATTCCACAGTCTGACCATTGATCCAAGTGATATTACTAACGTTGGGTTTCCTCCCAGAAACAATAATCGGGCCATGACTAGTCTCAGAGTCATTCGCATACAGTAAAACCTTGGATTGCGAGTAACCTCGTCTACGAGTGTTTTGCAAGACAAGCAATTTTTTAAAAATAAATTTAACTTGATAAACAAGTGAGGTCTTGCAATACGAGTAGTACGTACACTTTGTCTGCCGAGTGTCACGTCACAACTGAGCTAATGGTTCTCCCGCGTCACATCTGTACTGCAACAATGACCCCGATGAAGAAAAAATAAAGGTTGAAAAGAAAGGCAGTAAGAAAAAGGGGTGATTATGGCGGAAGTTAAAAAGGAAATCATCGAGAAACATGAACGAGGTATGCGAGTGGCCGACATCCCAAGATTTTATAAGGGAGATGTGCAAAATCCGCCAAGTCCTCAAAAGGAGGCAAAAGCAATTGTCACTAGATAAGTTCCTTGTTAAAGTCACACTAAAAGAAAAAGATTTCAGCGAGCCAGATAGCAGATAGCTCCTCTCTCTTGTCTCCCTCAGGACAACTATGATTCTTTTCAAAAGTAAAGTGCAGATTAACTTGTTTTATTTTTACTTTATACTGTATTTTGTATTACTGTAGTCATTTTGTATGAATAAGTGGTTGTGGAACGAATCATCTGAGTTTCCATTATTTCTTATGGGAAAATTCGCTTTGATATACAGTACAAGTGCTCTGGATTACGAGCACGTTGCCGGAACGAATTTTACTCGAAATCCAAGGTTTTACCATATTTAATAATGGCTCTGTTGTCATGTCTGCACATATGTGTAAGTATAAATAACAAGGATGACAACACACACCCTTGTGGTGAGCCCATAGAAGAACATATTTTATCTGACAGGGTGGCGTCCACGCTCATTCTCTGTGTTCTGTTAAAAAAAAAAAAACCCAAATCCAGCCTACCAAATTGTTGTCTAAATCAAACTGTTAAAGAACTTACCGGATCATGTTAACAGCAGAAGATAAATCAACAAATAAGAGCCTTGCATGAGTCCCAATTCCATCCAAAATTTTAAAAAGCAAATTAAGCAAAGTAATAGCAGAATCCTCTACTCCTTTATGAGGTCTATAAGCAAATTGCATAGGATCAAATAGGTGCATATTTTGCCTCCACGTTATGTGTGGCGTAAAAGTAACACCGCATTTCAGAAAAAGAACATCATACCAGCAGTAAAATATGGTGGTGGTAGTGTGATGGTCTGGGGCTGTTTTGCTGCTTCAGGCCCTGGAAGACTTGCTGTGATAAATGGAACCATGAATTCTGCTGTGTACCAAAATATCCTGAAGGAGAATGTCCGGCCATCCGTTTGTGACCTCAAGCTGAAGCGAACTTGGGTTCTGCAACAGGACAATGATCCAAAGCACACCAGCAAGTCAACTTCTGAATGGCTGAAGAAAAACAAAAGGAAGACTTTGGAGTGGCCTAGTCAAAGTCCTGACCTGAATCCAATTGAGATGCTGTGGCATGACCTTAAAAAGGCAGTTCATGCCCGAAAACCCTCCAATGTGGCTGACTTAAAACAATTCTGCAAAGATGAGTGGGCCAAAATTCCTCCACAGCACTGTAAAAGACTCATGGCAAGTTATCGAAAACGCTTGATTGCAGTTGTTGCTGCTAAGGGTGGCCCAACCAGTTATTAGGTTTAGGGGGCAAACACTTATTCACACAGGGCTTTGTAGTTTTGGATTTTGTTTTCCCTTAATAATAAAAACCTTCATTTAAAAACTGCATGATGTGTTTACTTGTGTTATCTTTGACTAATATTTAAATTTGTTTGATGATCTGAAACATTAAAGTGTGACAAACATGCAAAAAGATAAGAAATCAGTAAGGGGGCAAGCACTTTTTCACACCACTGAATAGCTTTCAGTAATTTATGGTGTTTTATTTAATTTTAATTTTTGTGTTTTTATGCTGTTTTGAAAAAGTATAGTAAAAACAAAGATGATTATTAATGTTATGATTGTTGTTGTTATCATTATGACTGATACTATTATTAGGGTTGTTAAATGACATTTAGTTTAACGTCAGGTCAAATGAACACATAGAACTTGATAGGTGATGTGAATGAATGGGTACATCAAATAAATTTGAAAGTTGGAAACGTGTCTGACTGTAATTACTATAGCCTGAAACCACCAAGGACATTTTTTGGAAATAAGTTGTCATGACAAATGGTGACTATGCTCAGTGATGCAGAGTTTTCCAAGCTTGAAACAGATCAGTGTAGCAAGGTGATAAAAATGTATTCAAACACTATGGTTCACCTTTCATTTTTCTCCAGACCATCTGTCTGTGGGACATTGGAGCTGGCCCAAAGGAAGGGAAGATTGTGGATGCCAAGACCATCTTCACTGGCCACACAGCAGTGGTGGAAGATGTTTCCTGGCACTTGCTCCATGAATCCCTCTTTGGCTCTGTGGCTGATGACCAGAAGCTCATGATGTAAGTGGGTATAAATCTTTTGTCTGGTTTTGTTAATGAGAACAACAGGTTGATCATAAGAAAATGGTATCATTTTATTTTTTATTTCTAACCAAATATATTGGGTGGCATTGTGGCTGGGGTTTAGCGCTGTTACCTCACGGCAAGAAGGTTCTGGGTTCGAGGCTCAGCTGACCTAGGGCCTTTCTGTGCAGAGTTTGCATGTTCTCCCTGTGCCTGCATGGGTTCTCTGGCTTCTTCCCACAGCCCAAAGACATGCAGCTTAGGTTGGCGACTCTAAATTGCCCATAGGAGTGAGTGTGTGGTTGTCTTTCTCTAAGTGACAGCCCTATGATAGACTGGTGACCTGTTCAGGATGTATCCCGCCTCTCGCCCAATGTCAGCTGGGATTGGCTCCAGGAACCCTCTTCAGGATAAGCAGTATACAGTGGGAACGGAAAGTATTCAGACCCCCTTAAATTTTTCACTCTGTTATATTGCAGCCATATGCTAAAATCATTTAAGTTCATTTTTTTCCTCATTAATGTACACACAGCACCCCATATTGACAGAAAAACACAGAATTTGACATTT